AGTTGAGAGCCTCTAGGGTATGACCGACCGAGTAGTAAATTCGGTTAACCTGTCGGATCTGCACAAGTAAAGGAAAAGCTCACTAGGTTGTAGGATCTGGCCAATGTATTATCCAGTTATCACTACCAACACTAGATTCGCAATTCCCAACCTTCTCCGAGCTCGTACGGCCAAAGTAGTTCCGGTTTCTGAGGGCAGAAAGGCACTTGCGTGTTACTGTGCAAATTGGGTTCTGTATTGATACTTAAGCCTATACCTGCCTGGATTTCTACCTTCTATGTCTTTCACTCGCTAAATCCCTTACCAGGCTCGGCTGCATGTCCCTTCTTCCCTTGACCCATCATCCCAGCTGTATTATCTTCAGATCCACCGGATCCATGACGTAATCATTACGATCACCCTATTATGAGTACACTCATCCAGATCCAGGTCGCTTGGATCCACTTAGCTGTAAGTGTACACTCGCTGTGGATCTGAGCTCTCCAATCATTCAACATCATCTTGCAACCGTCTGTGATCTCCATTTGTCCCACGAAACTTCGAGATCCACAGCATCCCTCATCTCTGTACCTGGATCCAGGTCCCTCTCTGCGGGATCCTCCCTCCTTGGATCCGAACTCGGAAGTATGGGATCCGGGGCTCCTCGCGGTGGATCCTGACTTCTTGTTAACCGTAGCTACTAGATCCACCTTCAGAGGGCCCCTACCAGCATTCCTTCATAGGATCCACACTCGATCCACCCGTATATGGTATATCCCATATCCACCTAAGTGAATCCAGGTAAGGGTGGATCCGAGATAGGTCTTGGTGGATCTTGCCTTCTCGTACATCGCTCATACCAGATCCATCGTCATTCCATACGGGGTGCTGCTCGTCATGGCTAATCCACCACAGGCAACTTGCACCCGTGCCAGACAGCTCTAATCACTTGAAATTGTCACTGATTCGGGATAGTGACCCCACGTCAGGCCCATTCTCTTATTTCTGGAAAAGCACTTCACCACATACGCCTTTTCAAGCACGCGCCATTCCACAAAGTCTTTGTCGATAACAATTGTCTGGATTCGCTTCCAAAATGGGTTGTGGCGCTTGAAAAACTCAAGAATGTACTCCATCGTAGCAGCCTTTTGATCTAGTGCAAGAAAATCAATAATCGGGATACCTCTTCCAGTAGCTGACGTAACTACCAAACTCCCTGTGTACAATTTATTCATATAAATTGTTAGCAGTTGCTAGACGAATGAATAATAATTTGTAAATATCATACTAACCCAAATGATACTCAAGTTGTTGGTACCGTGCGTCCAGTCCATTACCAAACTGTCGCCCCACTGCTCGAAGCATGTCTTCTGAAGCGATGTCTGCATAGCTATGACACAAGCAATCCGCATGCTGATCGTGCACAAGGTTGGTGGCGCTCCCTCCACAAAAGGGATCCAGGAATCAGCCGTGGGCGCGCTTCGGCTTGGTGAAGAGTCCCAGCTTTCTTGCAAAAATGGTTTAAAGCTGACTATGAAGAGTGCAGTAACCCATTATTCTGTGTAAAGGGAAGAAGGTGAGAGAGAGCAGT